TAGCCACTGATCTCCGGGCATGCACATGACGTGGCGGGTGTGCGGAGTGTCACGGACGCTGACAAGTGGACGCGCACTCGCGGACCAACTGACCGAGCAGTCTTAATCGCTCCGCGCCGCAAGCAAATTGCTCGTCGGGCGCGCAACATGTGCCTCGAGTTGCTCTGATTGTACACAGGGATATCGCCGTCAATGCCGTGTGGCTCATCAGCCTGATTAAAGGTACATATATATATGTATACGTGAACGCCACGCCGCGCCGTCCAGTCCAGTCCCGTCCGATTGCGCGGGTTCCCCGTGGCTATACAATAGATGTCCTTGTTTATCCCGTAGGTTAAACAAAGACATCTATCGTATAGGTCGCGGACTAAACGCACGGTGTAAACGTAGCCCGTGTCTGCCGAGGTTTCGTAACCGCGCATAAATACGATCGAGCTTGTTTATTACGTTGCGTATTGCATGGCACGTGCTCTCACGCAACTCTCTCTCTCTCTCTCTCTCTCTCCTTCTGTTTCTCACAATACTCTGTCCTTGTGCTGCCCGACAGGATATGGACCCAGGTATTTACACGATTGGATCACATATTCCATTTTCGATGAAATTATGCGGCGGATAGGATAAATCTCAAGTTTTATCGTGGTAGCAAAGCTTCTCGCACATTTGACGTCACTCCCGAACTATGTGAATGTGCAGAAACACGCTTTTCTTATCGGCATTTATCATTTTAATGTTTACATTAAAATTGTATTAGACGCAGTCCATCTATCTTTTAGATTCTATGCGACTTTCATACTCAGCGAAATATCAGGAAAAATGGCGAATATAAGATAGAATTTATAAGCACATATGTTATATTGCACTCAATTGTGCATATTTTAATTGTCGTGTTGGTATTATGATCTCAAAGATAACGTGGAATATTTTTGTAATAAAATAAATTATGAAAGAAGGGATTTTATATTTGTATAAGTAGAAACACTATTATTTTGTAAATTATCTCTACTTAATATTTTTTTTTATATTTTTGAGAAAAATAGTAGAAAGATAAATATCCTACATTTATATCTCACGATACCATTTATATTTCAATATTACTTTGCATAATTTTATCATTTGTTGCATTTTGACCTTTCTATGTTATAAATAAACTTGCTATTGCTTAAGAATATCGTAGTCAAACATTTATAATCATATTGACACATTTTTCTGTTCAATCATTACGTATATTTATTGATTATTATTTTATCATCATATGTATAATTTTACTAATTAATACATGATTGACCGAATGATTTTATGATCATCTTGTATGCTTTGTTAGAGAATGTAGGCAAGGAAACTATTCTAAAAGTGACAGATTGGTTGCGTGGAATTTGGGAAATGAGACGACGTGCCGGCGGACCAGTTCAACAATGGATTGACTCCATACCATCGACCTCCAAGTCGGACATTGTCATTGCGAGCGAGTGTCGAGAACATAGTCCGAGCTATGAACATAAACTGTTAACACCAACCGAGCCTAAGAACATTCCACTTTCTAAGGACTTACAGTCTCCAAGCATGACCGTATCAGCGCCTATTAATGTTCCTAATTCTGCAGCAATGAATACATCGGTATTACCAAGGTATAATAAGGAATATTCATGATTAAAGAGTTCGTTACAACAATCGATATTAAATCACGAATATCCGTTTGAATTTTTTAGTTCACTTCCTCATCAGAGATTGGCGCGGGATGCGAGTTTTCAGTCGGACAGCAGTCACTGCAGTAGCGTCGAGAGTTTATTAGAATTGCGAAAGGCAGATCCGGCAGCGATTCTGTTCGATCTTGGCTTCGGCGGCTCCATTAAGAGGCATCGCCGTAGACGAGTTTCTTAAGCAGCAACAGGAGACCACCGAATCTTTTGATTCGATATCTTTAGGATATAGAGGCCTAACGGGTAAAATGAATTTTTCAACAGCAATAATCGTAACGATTACACTATGTTCAAGAAGAATCAATTTCTTTTGGAAATAGTGAATTCTGAAATTCATCATTCTATGTGTGAAAAACAATAAGAATTTTATAGTTACTATGTTGTCTATGACTTGTATCTTTAGTATCATCACTAAATGAATTAAGAACAATATTTTTATAAAGTTGATTATTAAATTTATATTTCTGGGTACAAAATGTATCCGCAAATATTTTGCCATATAGAATAATAATTTTGTAGGAAGCAATAGCGCATTATACGTTCCTACACGTGTCCGACAGCGCAGAAACTCTGGATCAAGTAATTTTGTAAGTCTCGCGTGAGAATCAGTAATCAAGGCTGTTTTAATGTACCTTTTTTTAAAACCAGTTTAATTGACTTATCTAGAAATGCATAGCTGTTCTCTGTTATTTATATTGTTTTGGTTTTTATTTTAGTAAGCATTTACATTACAGCTTCTTGTTTTTGCTTATTTATGCGTCAGTCGACGTACGATGTTTGTACTATTTTTATGTAGAAGTTTTATTATTTCTTTTGTATTTATTACAAAACTTGCTTCTAAAATTTCCAAATGCTCGATAATAATCTTATATAAAATAGAACAAAAATAGATTTTACCGGATTGTAGACATGCAATTAATTATATAATATATGTGATTTAAGTTTTAAATTAATTTGCATGAACAATAGTATGTAAGAATAATACAATGATGTGTACTAATGCATTAAGAACACAAATTCAAAGCGCAAATTAGTAGTGATAGAATCGAAATATGTTTCCTAACGTTATCACTCGTATCTTAAAGTAATATTTAATTTTCTCGAAATCGTGTACAATAATCTAGCCGTTTAAAAAATACCCAGTTGTGTGAAATACACCACTAATAGATGGAACTTATGCACGTGTTATATGTTGTTCTTAGAATACATATTATTCTATTTTTATTTTATGTATTTTATGCATTCTATGCATCGCATTTTGTTCTGCGGCAATTAGTTATTGACCATTAATGAATACACATGCGATATATCTTGTTTTTTTTCTGCATTTTCAAAGGATCGCCATATGTAGCCCCATCGGAAATTGTGCAAAAAATTATGGAACGCTTGCGGGAACATGACAGCCATGAAGTGGATACGAGTTTGTATAATTATGACCAGTACAGTTCATTACATCAAAATGGAAAATTCTCTGTACTATCTCCTGATAACAGGCAGTTCTTGGAACAGCCACGTTCCAAAAGCCCTGATATGCACAACAAGCGTATGATCATAGGTAAACGAGAAATCTAATGCAAATAAATTTTAATATTGACTTAATTTAATTTATTTGCTATTGATAAAACGTTTTTTTTCTCTCTTGCAGGGCAAAAATCATTTACTTTCGGATGCGACGGAAATTTAATTGAAATATCTACCGATGGTACAAAACTTACGTGCGATTCAGTAAATGGTCATAATAGCTCACTGGATGCCAATGAAACTATAGAATTAAAGCAATCGTCTCCAGAAGGAAGTATGACATTCGAACACCGATATCTTTCAAAGTATGACAAAAGGCTAGCGAAACAATTGTCGTTTGATGATACTGTCGAATTTGCTGAAACCAACCAATTATCAAAAGATGATCGGGGGACCTCGAATAGTTTAAATATTGCTCAAAGTGGCACAAATATAGATGATAGGGAACATGAATATAATACAACAAATACAACTTTTAGAAAACACGAGTTTTCTGATACTCGAAGGGCTAGCGATGGTTCGTTTGACGCTAAACTCTTAAAGAATAAACTATTTTATGAAAGGAGATTTAGTGATAGCGCAATGCGTATTGCTGAACGTCAAAATAAGGAGCATACGTTAACGCAAAAGAGGAAAAGTCTCAAAAGACAGTCTAGAGTATGTGATACATCTGCAATGTATTATTGCGATTTAAGTCCTATTAGGTCTAGCATACCGAGTATAGTAATAATAGAACCTAATGAAGTAGATAATGAAGTATCGAGTGGCGTAACTGATAGTGCACAATTAAATATACCGAAATCATTCGAGCCAGCCGAAGATAAAACCGATCTGGAGTTAAAAACGGAGACGGAATTTTCGTTTAGTAAATCTGATTACATGCCTCCGCCATCAAATGTTAGTGAATCTATCAACAGATTAGACCGCTTTCAAACCGCATCGGAAGATTCGGCATCTAGTGATCATTCTTGTACGGAAGATAATCAAGTTTGTTGTTACAAAGGTAAAGTATGTAAAGATTGTAAGCATGGTAAAAACTGCCCGGATTGTTGTTGTTATGCTAACAAACGGAAATATCGGAAAAAGATGGAGAAGATTATGCAAGAAAATAAGAGATTAGAGGATATGCTAGCGAGAAGTAGGAGAGAGGTGGCACACATTCGTGATATGCTAAGCAGTGTGTTATCAGTCAGGATGGAACCAGGATTTTAGACGGATTACTTAGAGCAATTGCCAATTTTGGTAAAAGTAATACTATCATCTTGTGATATGGAGGAAGGGGGAGGGTGAATATATACATTAGAGAAACTTAATATCTCTCTTGTAGAGAATTTTTGACTTTCTATTTAACACTTTAAACTAATCTATTCTTCTATTTCAGAAATCAAATATTTTTGAAGTTTACATTTTTTAACAAATGCTATTTCTGAAATGTACGTACCTAAGAACATATCTTTCATCATATTTTTTTATCTAAAACTAAAGCCGATAAATACACTCAATTATTTTTGCATGCTTATATCAATATAAAAATATTAATATAAATCTTTTTATATTTCTATTTCTGTATATATTATACTTCTTACATTTTTTTTACACTCAACGAGAGTTATAAACAAAAATCTTATTATATTTTGATTTTATTTAAGATTAGGTATTGGCACACGACCAAAAAAAGAAGTGCGTTTTTATCATCAGAATACTTCGTTAATACTGGCATAGGTGAATTATTAAAATAAATATAAATTTTCATTGTCTGAAATAAGATATCAGTTTAAACATACGGATGTTATTTTGTGATTGAGAGAAGATACTTTTTATAATCGATATACAAAATCACTCGAACGTGAGAATATATGAGATCCATTTATCAAATATTATATCGTTTTATTTAAAATTTGCACAGTTAAGCCAAGTAATCGAGCGAATAAAGATGAACTAAATGATATTTATTAGTAAATTCAAATATAAATAATCGTTTTATTTGAAATTTTATATAAATTTGACTGCACAAAATTTACACTTTCATGAATTGTATTTTAAATTTTACATACTCGAGACGATTAACTTGGTCTTACGTTATTTCGACTTTTCTCTTTTTAACTCTATCTCATATTCTAATCGTTACATTATTATATAAATCGCGTACATTCCGCTACCATACCTTCGAATATACTTGTTAAGTTTGAAGTATTGAATTATTTTTGTTATCTTATAACTAAATTTGTTGATTGAATATCTCTAGTTCATAATTGAAAAATAATAAGTAATAGTTATAGGTATACCTTGTTCACGTTTAATAGAATTTTTCTATATAATTGAGCATTTTTGTATGTATAATATAATATAATGCACAAAAGGAAGATTAATTGCAAGTTGAGAAAACACAGTCAGAACAGTAATGAAAGTTTGATATTTTCGTTACTCTTTTTAATAATTATATATTTACACAGTAAGATTGAAATGCTGGTCATTTCATATTTTATGCAGACAAAAAGAGATCTAGTCTTCTACAATTATTATAATACTGTCGGTACGGTGGTAAGATGTTCAACTGTTGATTCTTCATCTTCTGTCATTTTCCTATATTCAAAATAACGTGTTCTCAAGGAATTTTTCAGAAAACAACTCATGGTTTTGGGTATCAATTATTGAGAATTAATTTATGCTGCCATATTGAAGTACTTTTTGAATAATAGTATATTTCCACATATCACATTATAGATATAGATAATGTACATTCATTTAACTTTAATCTAACAACGGGATCAGTAGCTATAATATATTTAAAGAAATCTGCGATTTAATGAATTAAATAAAATGAAGAAATGATCTGAGATTTAAAATCAAATCAAATAACATATACTCGTTCTATTGAGATCAATTAAATACGAATTATTTGAGATTAATAAAGGAACGCTATTACCTACAATATTTGGGGAAGGAAAAAAGATGTTAAGTATACATTAAATTAATATATATGTATTGTTATGAAATGTATGTATAAGTCTGTTCATTCTTTTTACTTAATGCTAACAGTTAGTTAAACTAACAGTTAAGCTAACATCAATTGGAAGTTTATTTGATATTACTAAATGCGGATTTAATTTTTCCTAAGTATATAACATCATTTAATAAAGAAAAATGCCTTTTATTTTATCATGATATACAAATAAAACCATAGTTAGTACAGAAATACAAGATCATAAAAAATATCATACAAATAAAAAAAATTTAGAATATTAACATTTACGTAATAGAATTTTTAGTCCACATTTTACATAATAAATCAGTTTATCTATAACAAATTTCCTGATTTCTTACACAATATCAAACGATGAAATCTTGCTAAGATACATATTACTTATGTTAAGTATACAGAAAGTAATTATACAAACACGAATAGAAACACTGTAGTTATTAAGGTACAATGTACAATTGTGGGAAAACTCAATAATAAATATATACCACAATTGAGTTTCGTTTTTTATACGTATTAGCCATAATTTGCACCTAACGAATTTATCAGCTAAACATACTGCTAAATGTACCGTTTATAACACGTTTCATAGAAATCAACTGTTCACTATAAACTATCCAAGTATCTATTTTTTTTCAAATGTGTTTTTACTTATCATAAATAATCGCGAAACTATATTCTATAAATCGACGTGTGAAATAACACAATTTTATAGATACATACGAGATCAAACTATTTAATAACAGACAAAATATGTCAATATCGTCAATAATATAAGTTAACTTTGTACATACAACTGATCTCCTTTACAAGTTATGAATGCAGGTTGTCAATTACTGGAAGGATCTGCTAGTTTTTGTCTTATTATGATAAGCACATAATAACTGATTTAGCGTCATCCGTAGTAATTATGGAAACTGTAAGAAATATTTCTTGTAGAGTTCCTTATTTATATCATTTATATCAACTAGCATTTTTTCCAGTTCTAGTTCTGATCGAAAGAAGATATATATTATCATTTATAATCAAATAATTTACGTAACTCAAAATTGTATATAATTATAAACTTACATATCAAATTATATATAATTGTACATAAAATATGTCCATTTATATACAAATATATATATAATGATGTGTATAATTTTATACAATTATATATAAAATATTTTTTTCCCGGGATTATATCAGACATGACTGATAGTTTCATTTATTTCTCACTACGGGCGCGCTTGAAGTAACTGCATAAATGATAAAGCCAATGCAGCGCGTTTGTAGAGTTTAAATCACAAACAGACTAACAGTGACATCATAAACAAAATCGAACATCAACATGCATCCTTTATGCTAGGTAACATTGAATTTTTGTCGAAGATAAAACATTCGTAAATTATCGAGTGTTTCTGCGTTTACTAAACTCCGTAAATACGATGCATGTAGCGAGTAGCTTTCTTGATAATTGAAGCTCACATGTATATTCTGTCAGGGATATCAATTATAGCTAAACTACCCCCAGTAATAAACTCAGAGCCATGGTCCATCCAATCTTATATTTTAAATATGAACCTGCTACAGTACCATGCCACAGATATCATCCATGTGTATGTGTACATTGTGTAAATATATGTTTCGTGAATAGTGTACATGTAGATGTGAATGTTTGTCCTTTCTTTCCTTATAACATATGTTTTCTTAAGACGTATATAAACAAAGAGCAAACTCGATTTAATTTAATCTTCTTTATCATCCCTGAAATTAATGAAAAGAAATTTGTAATCATATTATACATATATACTGCAACATTGTAGATCACAATGCGATCAACGATACAATTACATACTTTACAACTTCTTGTGGTTGCGATGGATCAAAATGAAGTTCAACAATTGTCTCTTGTCTACTTTGCACTTTAAAGGAAACCTGGACCGCTATGTATTGGTCTTTGTTACTCTGTTGCCAACCGGAATACTGAAATGAAATGTAATTTCTGTAAATTACATTTATAAATATAATTTAAGTGAGATTTATGCGCCACACAAATTTCTGTTTATCTAATATCGACTAATGCAACTGAATTACAGGTCAGTTTAGTGAATGTTAGAATTATTTTTTATTCTGAAAAAAAAAAAAAATCGATGCACTTACTGTCGTTGTGCTTCTGTACAGTACTTTCCCATCTTCCTTAAAAGGTAAAAACTTTTGGAGCAATGCTTTTCCATCTATCCTCCACAAGGTTGGATAAGTGCTTGAGTCCACATCGGATTTACCCTTACTGGATAAGTTATTTTCCTTATTCTTATTAGATTCAATGTCAGCTTTTAAAAGAACGAATGAACCAGACTGCAAGAAACATTAATACAGATAGATATTTTTTTAAAAGTTTATTATAATCTTCTTAATATCGATCATGGCCCAATGACTTACTGTGTATTCTTTTGGAGTCTCTCCAGATTCGTTGAAACTGTTATCAGAATCATCATCTTCATCATCCTCCTTTTCATCATCGTCTTTCTTAGAGCGCCTTTTCCTCTTTGACTTTTTTCCTGTATCAGAATCAGACTCCTCTTCCTCTTCCTCTTCATCCTCTTCGAACTCCTCCTCTTCCTCTTCGTCCTCCTCTTCAGAGTGCTGTCGCTTTTTTCCTGCTCCTCTCTGTGGCCTTATTTTAGTACCAGCCTATTAAAAAAAATCACAAGTAATATATCAAAATTAAATATTTTCTCTTTCTTTCTCTGCCGTATATTTTTAATCGTATTCATAATAATCATACTTCCATGAAAGCTTAAAACGCACGATAGAAAAACATACAATTTAAGTAAAAAGTATAGGACACTATATGAACATCTCCTAGTTCATTAACGTGACAAACTAAACTAAGTTTAACAATTAACAAGAAGATATCTTGAAAAATGTTCGTTTTGATATAGTTTTCTGGTGTCTAATGTATATTAACTTTAATCTCAGAATTGATTCTTAGAACTAGGAAAGATAAAGAGTAAGTTGAACAAAAATTAAAATTAATCTACATTGGCGGGGGGGAGGGATTAAACATTAGAGTGATTTTGATTAAATATCGATTAACTTATCAAGTAATATTTTTACTATTTAGATAGAACTATCAATACTTTAATATATTTAACATAGAAAAAGATTGGCAATTACATTTAGAAGGGACTTCGCACAAATCATATAGAAAAGCGATTTCAGTCGAATTGGCTGAATTTTTGATATGTTGTAGTTCTCGTCATTCTGAACATATGTCTCAATATGCACAACCTGATCTTATAAACCGTGTCCGTGCTACAGGCTCTAGAAGGTCCAAATATAACATGTAAATAGGCTTTTCGACAGTATATGTGACCCTACGGTTCACTCCCGTGGTGTTTAATGTGTGACTCCAACACTCTGCTGTATGTGTGTGTTGTGTATGCATTTTCATACATTTATATAATAATGATGAATCATGATCTTTATTATATACATGTACAGGGTGTTGCAAATACATACTAGG